TGAAAGTCGGCGGCAACAACGCCGGTGACCACCACCTTAACACCCTAAGACCATCTGACCACCCCCGTTCCAAATATGTTACTCGTGTAGTTCGAATCTTCCCCCATATTCTCGAATCTTCATTTGAAGATTCGAGCCAAACGGAAACCTACACCAACCAACCCCAAACTCACCCCAAGGCACCCCCTAACCACCCTCGTTACGGATCTGTTGGTTGCTCACCTCGAATCAACTTCCAACTTCTCGAATCTTCAATCGAAGATTCGAGAAGGACTTAGAACTACCCCATCCACTCCAAATTCATACCATGCAACTCCCAGACCTCCCTCATACCCTAAATAACTTTGGTTCCCTTCGAATCTGGCTAGAAACATTCGAGCCCTAAATCAAAAAAATTAGGAACCCTAGAAATTCAAATCATGGAATCCGTCCAAATTAAGTGAGGATTTGGGGTCTAATCGACCTTAATCGAAGTGTTCTCAGTTGAGAACACTTCGACTAAGGTCTGTTCGACCTCAAAGTGTCCGAGTCCGAAGATCGAGCCTGGGTCCGCGTAATTCTGATATTTTGAGGTATTTTCCTTTTTTACTTGTATCTGTTTATATCTATTTATTTGTTAGTTTAGTTTTATTAGTTTGAGAATTCTTTTTGTCAATTGATTCTGTTCATCTTCAGTAGCCTTTTTTATTTGGTCCAATTCTATCATTTGTTTATGTTTGATATAATTGTTATGTGTAATAATTTGTGTAATCGATTAATAAGTTGCGTCGATTAATTAGTTTCCAGTTAATCTATGTTTTTGTCAATACCACTGAAATTACTCGTGAATTGCCTGATTATCTGGGTCTGATTGTTTAGTGTCAATTGTTGTAGGCAATCAGTTAATTAGTTTCGCCGATTAATTCGTTCTTGTTTATAGACCAATAAGTTCGTCAAATGGTTGTTATGTATGCTGATCTGTGGACACTTAGTTTCAGGGCATTGTCAATAGGCTGACAATGATCCTGCATTCATGTTGATTCTAATTTTATTATTCAGTTTCAGCTTTAAGGATTCTGTTGAGTTCTATGTTGTGTTAAGTCTGGTTTTGATTTAATTTCAGTTCATTTGTTCCAATTGAATTCTAACCTCAGTCATTCAGTTATCAGAAATAAGTTTGGTTATAGCTGTTAGTCAGGCTTAATTTTCAAATCTTTGTTAGTTGAAAACAGATTTCAAAATTAAAGTTTTAATACAGTTAAATAATTGTATTAGGAGGCAGTAATATTAAGGGGTTTCAGTAGTGATTTGGGAATGAAACAGTTAGGATAATATTTTAATGTTAGTGTGTTGTTAGTGGGATGTTAGTGTCTTTAAATTAATACACTAATAGGGAACAAAAGGGAATGAGGGGCTGAAATTAAGGAAAAACTTTCCTTAGTGGGATTTTAGTGGAAAATTCTGATTTCAATAAGAAAAAGGGTTGGGCAGTAGGTTGGAGGGGGGGCAGACTTGTATAAAAGGGTGTTGAGGATGGAAGTTAAGGAGGGGGACTGATTTTTAAACCTTAGAGAGAGAGAGAATTTGAGAAAAAGAACTAAGAAAAAAAGAGACAGAAGAAGATTGAAAAAGCTATCTTCTGAAAAAATACTGAAAAAGGAAAAATTGGAGAGTTGGTTTTCTTTCACTTCTGAAAAAACAGAATCAGTTTGGTTAAGTGTTTAACAAAAAAGTTCAAAGTGTTTCTTTCTTGAAAAGTTTAAAATTGCAACTGGATTTCTGAGTTTATTGCTGGGTTTTAAATCTCCTGGTTGCTGGTTGTTGATTGTTGTTGCTTCACTGTTACTGCCCTGCTGATCTCTCATCTTCCTTTTCTTTTATTTCAATACCAGGTACACTTTCGAATCAATACTGATGTGGCTGCGAGATGTAAAAGTAAAAATGAAATGCTAGGATGTTTGATGAATTAGTGTTGTATCTACAGTTTAATAAGATATGTGCATTTATATAGTTAAGTTTTATAGCTCAACTGGAATGCATGACGTAGCCGTGTATTTAACTGGAACTGTTTGGTTTTCAAACTATAGTTTGTTGTTGTCAATTGCAGATTCCATGTAGTTAGATATGTAATTTGTAGAATGAACAAATAAGTTAAGGGATTAGTTGCCATATTTCATCTCTAGCTTTCTTTTGTATTTAAGACAGATTTTAAATAGGCAGTGTTTGATTCCGTTAGGCAGCATATAGGCCAATATTCGAATCCGTGTGGATAACATTTCCTAGCCGTTAATTCCAATAGTTTAAATCAATTTTAGTAATGTTAGTTTAAATAAAGTTTAAGAATGATTAGTTTATTTTGAATATCTTGACAAGTTTGTATGCATTTTTGTAATTTCAGCATTAGTAGTTTACTTATAGAATAAAGGCACCAAACATTTCTCCATTCTTGCGAGTTCGAGTGTAAATTATTGTTATCATCTATTGTAATCTATTAACTACTTATCAAGTATGTAATTAATTAAGACTTTTCCCGTTTCTTTTAGAGACAAACTTAATAGAAATGTAGTCACTTTAGGACTGCTCTTTAAAAATAAATGAGACGAGCCTCGCCAAATAAAACGCAAGCTGCGAGGCCCTCAATAAATGGTCAGTAATTAATTAGACTTCGGATGGACCGTTTTAGCAAGATTTCACGGCCTTCTCAAAAATAAAATGTGCTAGTCACTTTAGGCACGCCTTTAATAAGTTGCTTTCTTAAACGCGGGTGTACATTGATGTGACCCAAATCCAAATCTCAACGGAATCGAAGTGTGTCGACGACCACGGGTACATTGATTGTGACGTGGTTCGAGATACATTTTCATAACGTTGCAATTCTCTGTAAAATAATAATAATAATAATATAAAAGCGGTTAAAGAATTAAAATTTGCACGTAGGTTCATAACTGTATAAAATCAGATAATCAAGCCGAATATGACAGTTGAGCGACCGTGCTAGAACCACGGAACTCGGGAATGCCTAACACCTTCTCCCGGGTTAACAGAATTCCTTATCCAGATTTCTGGTGCATAGACTGTTAAACAGAGTCATTCTTTTCCTCGATTCGGGATTCAACCGGTGACTTGGGACACCATAAATC